CTCAAAATGAAACAGATGAAAAACACATGAATGGACTATCTGAGATGTGACAATGTGACAGAGGTACTAGACTGGCAGCATGGAACTCTGAGTAAGAGGGTAAGGGGGTAAGAGATTGGCTTCATACGACCGAAGCATACTTATATTGTAATCTTGGCTTCGATAAATACTGGTTTCTAATCTAATCAAACTGGCAATTGGTATCTTATGCCTCTTCCATAAGAAAAACACACATTTTTCTCTTCAATTTGTCTCTAAAAAAATCATGACTGAAACGAGTTTACTCTGAACACCATTTGTGTTGTCAGCATAGCTGTGCAGAGCTCTATTATTTTGGATTGAGAATTGAATAAGGCATGAACTATAGGTGTAGCATCACACTCGAAAAATATTTCTTGCATGATTTAAAAACACACAGAACCAGCAACATACTGCCCCATTAATGACTGATCACGAGGGAACAAGATATGGGACTGTTAACTGAGTTATTTCCCTCCTTTGTCCCTCCTACTGACCAATCAAATTCCACCTCTCATATCACTTGCATTTGCTTCAAACAAAATGGCTGTGTCCAGTCAAGACGATCTATCGATAATCAAAATCTATATTATTATAAAACATGTCTTACTTTGAGAAGTGCATCAAATGACGTGATCACCTTGATTAACATGATTAAAAACATTAAGAGATTTGGAAAATATCTGTTGACACAGTGAAGACGGTACACATCTTTTGCAAATCCTGCAATCGACCGAAATGTGCACAGCAGTTTACAAACCAATGGTCGATTTTGTTACGCCATTTTGATTGGACTATGCATAGACTCGCTTGTCCAGCCTAAATATAACTCCTAATTCCAGCCTGGTTTGGCAAGGGTGGAAACTGGACTTTTATAGTCAGTTAACTCCCTTGCCTCGGGAAGCTGGTGCTCCAGTTGCATGTTACTTTTTATTTTGTAGATATATATTTTTAAATAAGGAAACTTTATTTGTGGGACTATATGTTAAGTCTCCTTATTCAGCTGCATGAGTTGATTTGCTGGTTGAGGCAACTGTGCATGACGAGACTGGGATAGTGTGCAAGGACATATGTGAACAGTGGAAACAGACTTTGACTCAATGCCTGAACAATTATTGGTTACCGCATGATCTGTGAAGATTTTGATATTACAAAGGGTGCATGATAATTCATTTCTTCCAACATGAACAGAATGGTGGAGGCGTGTCTGATCCTGTTACTGGAAAATACTGCTGATGTTCGGAGGGGGAAAAGAGTAGAGATTCCTGCAGTGAAATCAGGTTCTGATTGTGTGGAAGATAAGGTGACTGAGACTGATTGGGACTCCAATTCTGTAATTCATACCTTGATATCTATCTATCCTGTGTACAGACCGATAACATTCAAAATATACATGTGTGTGGCAGCTTTGAGACCATGAAATAAAACCCTGTTTTTCCATTGCATGGTTATTGTAAACTTCTATCAGACACAAATTGAATATAGAAAACGTTTGATATATGTAATCTATTTGTTTACTCTTTCCAAGTAGGTTGTCATTTAAACAATAACTTGTAAACAAGGAAGGGTAATTAAGATGATTTTCCAGAGAGTCTTTTTGCCCCAAAACATATCATTCTCATTTAAACTAAGTTTAATATACAGTTAGCATGGTTAGAGTCTTCCATGTCCCCCATGGTATATTCTCTTTGTGGCCCTCATGGTTCATTCTCCCTGCAGTGTTTTATTGTACGATAAACATGTGCTATCTAAGTTGACCAATCAGACTTGACACTATCTGAAACATTCAAGACAAACAACTTGTGTGACCAGTTGAGAAACAGGAACAAGCCATAATGTCTAATTTTTCATATCTGCTGCTATGGTAAGACACTTGTTAAATGTAACAAACTAATATTAAAAAAACAAACTAATTTAAAGGGACACTGATCTAAAGCAATTCCCCGGGAATGGATGTTGCCTTTGTTATTGTTTTTTCCACTTGAGTTCCCGGATGATACGCAACGCAACTGAGTGTGACAAAAGACTGGGCTACCGTCTGCAAGGACAGCTAAATACACTTGGGGGCAATATTTGTTTTACTCATTTTTGAACACTGATTGGTTAACCATGATCTATAAAGATTTCGACAAAGGGCCCATGTTAATTAATTTCTTTAGCCTAGACAAACAGACAAAAAGAATGGCATAGCTCATCGGATGTCGTCATTTGGAAATACCCCTGATTTTTATAGTTTAATGATGAAAAAAAAGTATCCATGCAGTGAAAGTATTTTCGGATTTCTGACTGCGTTGATAATACGATTATTACTCCCTTGTCATCCCTTGTACTGTCATCCACGTTTTCTGGTATAACCCTACACGTGTGTATTTGTCATTCACTTGATGCTCAGTCAATGAATTTATTACAGGTACAATTAGTGGTAGCACCACTCAGAACACCTGACAAAGGTTCCCATTTGGCATTTATTTTGTATGGGGTAATTATTCAATCTAAATCCAGATTTGAAGTGAGGTGAAATGTGTGTTATGTAATATGCACATGGCAGCCCAGCAAGAGATGAATGATCAGTTGATTTACCTTTTTGTAAATCAACGGATCGTTCGTAGTCATCAAAGGATTAAAAGAAAATACATTGATTGATTAATCACTGTTATCTTGCACAGTGGATATGTCAAAAGTGAGTGTTTACATGTCTAGGTTTACTAAAACAAAGGAAATACTCTCATATCATGGCGCGAAGTGCCAATGTAAAAACAACATACTTCGTTCAAAGGGTTAACCGATAACACGTTGATTGATTGCTTATCGTTATCCAACTCAATGGATTTTTTAGGAACCGTGGACGTTATGAAAATAGTTGTCACATGGGCTTTCTCAGCCGACCTTTGAGACTTAACACCCATGTGAAACACCTGAAACAATCTTAGTGATCAGTTGAAAAACGAACACGGGTTATAATATCCTGAAACGATATATATATTTTAAAATATTTGATTGTTACAGATACAATAAGTTTCTTTGTACAGCTGCAGACTTGTGGGATATTGTTCCTTTGTGTGGATATTCATGGATTCATTCCTCGAACAAGGAAGCTGCCTAAAATTATACACATAAATTTGGAAGGTATTTGCATTTTGTTTGTCGTCATTTGCTGTAGCATTGGACAGATTCATTCTTGTTCCTCTACGTCTTGGTTGGGAAGTTCTTCAATGCGCGATAGACGTTGTTTTCACAAATCTTTTCCTTTGTAACCGTGCATATATTAGTCAATTTGTAAAATGTGATTCTCTCAGGCAATTTATAAAATGTGTTAACGATCACAATAGATTATTATGTAGGATTAGAAGCCAAACAATATGGAAATGTACTTTTCATCATAACATTTTCAGTCTCTTGGTGATGATTTTAAATATAAAAATGTTTGGAATTCGTTGTCATAATACAGATGGACATACTTTTCAGTCAATTTGAATATTGAGGCGTTTAATAAATTTCCTAAGTGAAAATTTTGTACGTTTTGACTGTAAAAATATAAACATGACAAAATAAGCAATGCTCAGGAGAAATATTTACTTTGTGTTGCAAGTCAAAATAGTGTAAACGAAAATAGCACAATTACCAAGCAAGTGACTTTTCAAAACTTCGTCACCATGACCAATGCTACCCACAAAGTTACCTACATTTCCTTATTATTTCCAAAACTGTATTTCATTTTGTTGATCAATGTGACCATACGCCCTTATACTATCAATAAAAGTGACAAATGCGCTTGCGAATTGCGCAGCACAGGTCGCGAACTAGTCTAGGTTTCTGCTATATCATCCGGGTACTCACGGGAAAAAAACAATAACAAAGGCAAAAACCAGTCCTGGGGAATTGCTTTAGATCAGTGCCCCTTTAAATTAGTTTGGTTTTTTAATATTAGTTTGTTACATTGAACAAGTGTCTTACCATAGCAACAGATTTACAGGACACACAGATACATTAATAACTCCTCAAACACGACAAGTGCCTAATATTACGCAATCCGTATTCGACGTAATAAGCGCCCCGCTCTAATAAGCGCCCACGGCGATATTTGCTAATATATTGGCTAGTGAACAATCCCAATTAGCACCCTTCTGATTGATCAATGTACACAAGACCTATTTGTTCGTGTATAATACGCACTCGTGTGTTATACGCACCTTAATTATGGGCAATTAAATTCTGGAATATATATCTGTCGTGTAGGATACGCACATACTTTTCTTTTGTATCATTTCAGGCTGTCAGCATAAACTACGAAATGTACAATCTTTCAACTCTGTTTCTTTTCTCACCAAAATTATATTCTAATAAGAGCCCCCTATTTCTAATTTTGAGAGCGCCCTGGGCGCTTATTATGTCGAATACGGTATATCTTTTATCAGTTGTAATTGCGATACATGCTTTTTATTTTCATTCATTTGTTGTGGCACTTAACAGAACCACTCAAATTTCTTTAAGTAATCTTGGTAGATTTTCTTCTATGCAAGACAATCAATTGTTACAACATAACCTTTTGTTTATATAGGTGATAACACACATTAGAATAAGCAAGGCTATTAGGTGTGTTACGAGTCAAAAAAGTGTAAACTTTGTGTCAACACCACTGATGTGAATCCACGAAAGCCTACATTTCATTATTAATTCCACGACAAAGATCATATCATTTTTCTTCATCAATGTTTCCAAATTACTTTACTTCTTGTTCTTGCCCTGACAGCATGAAAACAAACATCACCAGTGATGGTAAGGAAATCTGTGTAAACCAATATTGTTGGATTACACTAGTGTAGTGGCCCACCCTTCATAATAGAGTAGTACTATTATCCAAATTTTGTAACAATATTGCAAACCTGTGTCTTTCTAGCCCTAGCTGCATCATAAACATGATAAACATCTCTAGTGACAAGAAATGGGGAGATATCCAAAGAAATATAGAAATGTATAATTACCTGAAACCAACAAAACTGCAAGTATTCGTATGGTTTCCTCTTCTGGAATGTAGAGAATATCCTATCCCGTGGGTCTGGGTAGATTCTGTCACCGAACTTATGCCTTTTGCATCTTCTTATACAATCGGAATTTTCTATTATTCTCTCAAACACAGAAAATTCCACCATTTCTGGGGTCACTTCTCGAATCGTTGTACTCTTTTTGCACTGAATCCGACAGTCGATAACAGTATCTTTATAAAACGTGTAATCTTTAATTGCGTCTTCCAAGGAACTCGCACACAAGAACCACGTCTGGTCATTGTAGGCATCAACACCCGTGGAGTACAGAGTAGCAAAAGTTTTCTTTGGTTTGATATACACAGTTTTCTCTGTCGCTAGGATGAATGGCAAAAATATCAAAAAAATGATTTTCCTTGCCATACTTATGTTGCAGCTGGGACGACGCTCCTTCCCCGATGCGTACGTGACACGAAGGGATGCCATTTTGGAAACTTCCCGCAACTTCACCGTCTAACCGGTGAACAGTCACGTGTGTTTCCACCGAATAAAGGATCCTCCAAGACTTAGCTGCAAGTCTGTTGTGGTGTGAGTTTGTATACTATATTGCGCTACTCTTCGGCATATCGGCCTCGTAGGATACATGGGTAATTTGTTTGGAGTTTTTTTGGTTTTTTTTGGGTTGTTGTTTTGGGGTTTTTTTTGGGGGGGTTGCTTTTGGAATTGCAATTCCAGTGTGTGTGTCTGAGTGGGATATCATGTTAAACTGTAGAATGTCAATTATATAAATCATCTCAATGGGATGAGGATAACCCAACCTTATGCATACCTGTTGTGCACCCTGCCGTTTCACAAGATGCTCTTCATTTCTGTTCAGTGGTATTCGTGTGGGTTTCCAATCATAACAATCAAAGTTACTGCGATTAAAATACACAGCGGTTCAATTTTCAATCGTTTGCTTTGAATGTGCACCGATTTCTCTGGCGAAAACGGCTACAATGTGTAGGGCGAAAACGGCACCTCTAATTTTAATAACGATAACAGCGATTTTTAATATATATGGTTTATTTACATTGTATTTGATGTATTTACATGTTATTGGATGTATGTGATGTATTCACATGGTATTTCCTGTTTTCACAGATAAGTACATATGTTCATATATACAGTTCTTCAGTTTTGTCGGCATGTCCATCGTCATCTTCATCGTATTCACAATATTGGCCCATGTACAACCGAACATTGTGAGAGTACTTGGCTCAGGGGGAGGTCTCCATCTTTGTATCGTCGCCATATGTCAAAAATCTCCTCTTGACGAGATGTGGAAGATTTGCGCACATACGCCCTGGGTCGTCCCTCCGAATGAGTCTTGACTGTAGAGGCAACAGACTGGCCTCTCTGAACAGCTCCTGGACCAATCTGTAGATCCCCAGGGACTGCTCACCCACCTTGTTATTGATACGTCTGTGCCAACCTAAAACGTGAGAAAACAGAAATTTTAATGTATAGTAAAAACATTTTTATTGTTTAATATAGTTTATTTTTATTGTGTGTATTTGTATTTGAACTATTTGTATTATTACCTTCCACAAAGTTGTTCGTCCTGACAGCTATGTTGAACACAGACCAGGATCTGGGAGAGAAGGTGGGATGAGCAATCCACATAGCAACAAGCTACATTGTGAGAACGTAATGAGTGACATGCACATAACGATGTCAGATACCACAAGGAACAAATTATTATAACACCGGCGCATGGGATCTCCCAAAGTTTTTGTTACTATTTCTAGAATTTGTACCAGCTGCTATTTCCCAAAGAATGCCGAGTATCAAACAAAAGCTGTATTGTATGGTAAACAATTCTGAAATTAATGGAACTCGGAAATTGCTAAAGGGTGTGGCATCACCATATTAACTACGAGCGATATAACATAGGAACCGCGAGGAACCGGTATTGGTTTCTAAGTCAACGTGGCATGTTTCCTGTACACGTTGATAAAAAAGAGCCCTCTTTTACCTGACCCTTACTACTCCCACACAACAAGAAGATATACTCTCTAAAGTAATTTGGCAGGACTGACTGTAATTTTCCCCACTTATCTACTCCAATCCATAGATGTTTGATTGACACGTTTTAATAGTTAAAAATATAAGTGTGCAATATTGCAAATCATATTGCCCCATATCACGGACTTAATTCCGGGCCAACATACACAGAACATTCTGGGGTAAACTCGGGAAATCGTAAGCGGAATAAATGTTGAAATTGATAGAATATTAATAATTTATAGAATATTCAATATATGTCTACTTCCGTTATTTATGAATCAGGCTACAAATCTCGCCGACGACGCATCATACTACTTACAGATGTACGATGTCCGTATTTATAACCAAACACATACAGTATGTCACAACTGGTATCCCCAATGTCTCTTTTCCTGTCACCGACAAGATCGAGTTATGACCCACCGTGGTGTATTACATTTACGCTCGGCGTTAATTACACTATTTAACTAAAAGACACGCTGAAGCTCGGATTGTAGTCCCCGCCACTTAAAATATTCATTGCAAAGAAAGAAATATCCATTTTCTTAGCGATATACATCGTCTTTGATTTTTTATCACGTGTTTACAATCCAACCGAGGAACTGCGGGCGACAATACGTGTGCCAAACTTGAAAACCTTAATCCCTATACCGTAATGAACTCATCCATGCAATGCCATTGTCAACAAACAAGGAATAATTTTAGACGAGTAGTTTATTATGACATAATATAAATTGATAACGCATATTTGACACTTCTCACAATGTAAAATCTTTATAACTGAATGACAAGATTCGATCCCCAAATAATCTTATTATACAAACATACATACACACACACACACACACACACACACAACACACCACACACACACACACACACACATACACATGTCACCCAGCAGCATCAAGGAACTGGAGCGGGCTCACTACGTTCCCTGAGTCTGCGGATACGTTGCTCCAGTTCTTCACGGGAGATCTTTCCTGGTGGGAGTCGGGCGCCATGGAGGTTCGGAGCCAGCTTGTTTCGTTCTGTTTTCTCCAGTAGTTGCAGGGTCTTGATGACTTGGGACAGTTCTGTTATGTCCTGTAGTAACTGTCCAATGTACGGGAAGGTCATCATCTGGCAGTTTATCTTTCATTTGAAAAATTGTTGTTTGTTCCAATCTTTTACATAATTGGCTTGCTCACCAGCTGCTCATGGAGATTAGATAACAATAGGTGAACAATGAACGCACCTATATTTCTTTTTCAAAACTCTTAACTTATCAAAACACAATACTTACTAATTTTTATTTTTTTTAAATATATATGTTTATTCATATATCTTACTAACTGTGGACTTCCTCTTATTCTTGTTCAGTCTTTTCCATAACTGGGGGGCGGTCGGGTAGCCAAGTGGTTAAAACGTTCGCTCGTCACGCCGAAGACCCGGGTTCGATTGCCGACATGGGTACAATGTGTGAAGCCCATTTCTGGTGTCCCCCGCCGTCATATTGCTGGAATATTGCTAAAAGCGGCGTAAAACTATACTTACTCACTCACTCACTCACTCACTCACTCACTCCATAACTGGCTTGCTCACAAGGTGCATGTTCATGGGATTTAGATAACAATAGACAGACAGACAGACAGACAGTTTATTCAGTATGCAATGGCCCATAGTACAGTTCAGATTTAACAGATACATAAAAATCAACGTGATCTTAATCATAGTATAATATAGTCACCTGAGTCTAAATACATGTTTCAAATACATTGCTAAAGATTTAATAACTTCTTCATTGTTCGAATTCAACAAATTGATCATCAATTGCTTGTCTTTGTGTGTAATATCTAAATTAGGTAGAAACTTTAATCTCAACGTTTTATATTTTTCACATATAAAAAGAACATGAAACTCGTCTTCAATCTCCTGATGGTACAGTTAGAACATATATAATTTTCAAAATCACTATCCTTGGTTCTACGATATTTATTGTCAAGGAAGTTATGGAGAGATATTCTAAATTTACAAAGAGCTCTCAATTGAGTTTTATCTTGTAATATGCTTAAATATTTTTCCGATTGAAACAATGATTTAATACCAGCATAATGCTTGAGAAAGTGTGAAGAGGAAACTGTTTGGTGCCAGTTTTGCTGAAATATGTCTAATAATCTTTGTTTAAATTTGAGCAAAAATAGTTTTCATTACCAGTGTCTTGTGAGATCCATACAAAAGAAAATCCAGTATTAAATAATATGCTTCATACACCAGCCACCCAATTCGTTTTCCCTTCATCATCTAATTGTTTTAGCATTTTGTAACATTGAAATGGGTACCTGTGAGCTTCCATTTTTAATAATTTTATCCAATATTTAACAACACGCAGCTGGCTATGTACGTATATACTACAGCGACCAGTTTCACCAAGCACTGCCTTATTTAAAGCACATTTACCAATGCATAAAAACTGCTTATACTATATGCAAAGTGTGAACTCTCTCAATGGATTCAAAATATTTAATGCTCCATATTTCCGAGCCGTACAACAAAATGGGTAGAATTTTACCATCAAATATCGAATTTGCTGTTAAAAATGAGATATATTTATTTTCCTTGAATAATTTATAAATAGGAAACATTGCCTTAGATGCCTGTAGCGCTAATGTCTTACAAGCCTTGGACCAATTTAATCTTGAGGACATTAATAGTCCTAAATACTTATAATAACTTGCAACTTTTAAATGTTTATCATCATATATCCAATTTTCATGCTTCGATACAATTCCACCATTTCTAAAAACAATAACATTGGTTTTGTCAAGGTTTACTTCTAAAACCCACTTAATACAAAAGGACTGCAATACATTAAGCTGTTTCTGCAAGCCTACTACATAGTAGGCCACCAGAGCAACATCATCCGCGAACAACAATAGCATAATATCTATAATATCTTGTGTCACAAACACACCATGATGACATTCTTTGTAAATTTCAGAAACAAGTTCATTTATAAAAAAGATGAATAAGACTGGACTCAAGATGCATCCTTGACGAACATCACTGGAAGTAGTAAAGCAAGGAGTTGTACCCGAGTCAGTTTTAATACATGCTTTGACTGAGGAATACATATTCTTAAGAACTATTGACAGTTTTCGACGACATCCCTTAGTGATCAAAAGGTACAGCAGGTTTTTTTCAACGTAATCAAAAGCTTTGCGGAAATCAACAAAGGCGCAATAAAAACGACCTCTAGGTTTACATAAATATTTGGAGCAAAGTGACTGTAGAACAAAGATATTGTCAACTGTAGAATACCCTGAGCGAAACCCTGCTTGAGCTTCAGATATCATATCATTTATTTCAAGCCAACTTCTAAGTCGTTTTTCAATAATAAATGCAAATAGTTTTCCCATGACATTTAAAAGAGATATACCTCTGTAATTGTTTGGTTGACTGACATTTCCTGATTTGTATAAAGACATTATCATTCCAATAGTCCGTGCATCGGGGAAAATACCCGTATCATGGATTTTATTGAATAAAAGCAACAAATATGGTATTAAAAAAAATCCTGATATTTTGTAAAATTCTGGTGGGACTCCATTAACGCCTGACGCCTTACCATTTTTAAGACTTTGTAATGCTTCTCTCACTTCTTGTTCTGTGATCTCACAAGATAACAATTCTTCCGTGAATGGAAGATCATTACATTCATCACACATGAGTATCTAAAAAATCAGATATTAATAGATCAAATTCTGTTTTGGCCGTCATGCACATCGGATTTAATAAATTATGAAAATATGAAAGCCATAAACTAGGAGTTATATAACTGTCTGGTTATCTTTTACGTAACGACTTTTTAAGTATTTTCCAAAACGTTTTACAATTTCCATAATGCGCCGCTAACTTAATTTCTTCACTCACTTTTATGTCATACAGTCTCTTCTTACGTTCACAAATCTTTGTAAATTCTGCTTTTGCAGTTACATATTTGTGCAGTTTCAAATCACACTTATGATTTCTGAAGTTGTTGAGATATAAATACTTTCTAGATTTCATATTCTGACACTCGCTTGATAGTGAGCTTAGTAACTGCTGCGTTAAGGTTATCATTCAAAATAACTGCAAACTCATTAAACATTTCTCCACTTAACGTATTACCGAGATGGAGGTGGTAGGAAACAACTGGATCAGGAGGAAGTCTATATTTTGGTACAGGGGTTAATGAGGCAGATGCAGCGTTGACACTATCGTTTTGTTGAAAAGAACAAGGAGTAAAATCTTTGAAGTGACAGACACTAGGCAAGTGTTCTGAGTTGGTTCGTTCAACCACTAACATATCTGTAATAGATTCAAATACACACTATGAAACAATGTAATAATCTACAGTACTGCTTCCTGTGTGAGAAATGAAAGTAAGATTGCCTGGACTATCTGATTTTGTCCTACCATTAACGATGTGAACCCCAAGTAACTTACACAGGTCAAGTAAGGCTCTACCATTGTTATTTATATGAAAATCACTGACACATCGTTGTTGGTAAAATTCATCGGAAGTTTATTCGTTATCAATAGGTAGATAATCTATTTCATCATCTATCAAATAATCTAATTCCTGACCAGTCCTTGCATTAAAATCTCCACATAGGATGAATTTACACAAGTCACCATAATCATGGATAATATGTATTAACTGGCGTTCTAACGTGTCTACCGCACTGTCCTCCTCATAAGAATATATAGGAGAATCCTCAGGGTGGATGTAAACCAGGAATGTTGGGAAGGGAGATAATTCATCCTTGATTCTGAAAACCAGAACGTCATCCCAAAGGGAGGAAACTCGTTCAAAATATTGTGACAAATGATGTCTAATACAAACGGAAATGCCACCTGAGAACCGACAACGGTTTACAGATCGCTCAGCCTTTCATTCGAAAATGTTGTAATTACTGAAATTGTTGTTTAACAAAGATATAGCATCATCATAGTTTCCAAATGACAAATTATATCAAACGTTTTACAAAATGAAATAAAATCAGAACATTCAGCTTTTGATCTCAAGCCGTGAATATTCCAAGTACAGATTCCAGTTGTGATGTCCACATGTACATCATCGGCTTGACCATTCCTGGCTGAAACACTGGGGTCAGATTGATACTCTGTGTTATGAGACTTGGTAGTACTGTCAAGTACTCTATCTGTTGCTACTGTAACTATCACATTATTAACAGTACCTGACGTACCGGTAACATTTGTAATGTTTGTACACTTGTCAGAAGTACCAACAAAACTATGACCTAG